TTTTCGAACCGCTTCGGGACAATGGTCGCCGAACCCGTTGCTTGCTTTCTAATCACAAGCACGCGAGTATTTTAGGCATCGCGTAGGCCCTCCGAACCATGGGGAACGATAGCGAGCTATTATTCCTTTATTATTCCTCGGGGTTCGTTCGGTCTGCTGTTCGTGGCCCGCGGGGTCCGCGAAAATCAGCGCGAAGTGGTCGCGAAATAGCCTAAAAACCCTTCGAGCAACTTTTACGGTGCACTTGCAACTCGTTCTGATTTTATTTTCGCAGATAGGTCCCACATGCTAAATAAAGAAGTTGCGCGAAAATAAAACGCGAAAACTGATATATCGTAATTAAGGGAAAAGTAGAGAGAATGCAGTGCGAACATTTCTTAACCTTGAGAAATCTGCAATTTTCCAATTTTGTTTTGGTTTGTCAATTTTTCGCGCACACAGTATGTAACAAAAAAATCTGAAAAAATTCTATAATGTGCGGTTTGTAATCCAAAGTAAGCCAGGTTTTTGTTTCAAAATTTTAGCAAGCCACCGAAGCCATCAAGCCACACTAACATTCGACTGGTTTTCAAAATTCATTTTTATTGTAGTATATTCGGACAAACTGAATTTTACTAGGACGTTTAAAATGCAAAAGAGTAGGAATACCATTCACTATGATTATAAACGCTCTGGTTTCAGTTTGATGAATAAAATCGCTTCGATTTTATGCGAATTTTTGGGGTTGATCTTCGGTAATCAACGCGTTAACGAGCACAGATGTTCGCATAATCCGTTGGAAGTTAGATACGATTAAAAGCGAGTACTTTCTGGTGTAACAATTTCGGAAATCTCCGGAGACCGAGTCTGTTCCGTGTCACGTTCGCTAGAGCGAATGTCGTGACGGGGGTGTACGTGTTTCCTGATCGCGTTATCAGCAGAACTTATCTAATCTGTTCGATAGCGTGCAACTATCGACAAGGACGGGAATTTTGCAATTTTGCGAGCCTCGGTAAGCCGTTTGATGACAGTCCGCCCTGATCGAGTGTACACGAGCGATTCCGTTTCGACCGAGTGGAATAATGGATGGAATAATGAATAGAATAATGGATGGCGATTCTCTGAACACTTTCACGATCGCGCCATAAGCCTCACAAAATTCATCGAATTAAAGTCTATTTAAGCCTAAATTAATTCATCGAATTCATTCAATTAAATTCAAATCTCAAAACAAACTCATATAGCATCGATTACTTCTCCAACATTTGTACCTCTTGCAAATATTAATAAAATAAAGAAATTATAATTTTGATTAGTTTAAGAATCAATTTTCAGAAATTGAATTTTTAACAATTCTGTCACCCACGTATTGCCGACGCGGCAGTGTTTCATAAAGAAAGAAGAAGTGTTCAATGAATTGCGAAAAACTTCGAGTCAAAACCGATCGATGGCAACAAAAATAAGTAAGCAGAATAAGGGCCACGCGTTGTGAAGATAAAAGTGGAAGATTTTCTCATTCGGTCCATCAAGCGACTTCGTTTTAAACGAGAAGATCTCCCCGTTCGGTTGGCCAAGTGTTAAGAGCCGACACTCCGAACAAGCTCCATCAACGAGAATTAACGATACGTGCGCGGTTGGCATCGAGACGCGTGTCGACGTCGCGTGTCAGACGAACCGGAAAATCGGAATCTGCATAAAAATTTGTAACGGCCTGCCGAGGACCGTCGAAGAAAGACATTGTACGGACCGATGGATGTGATTCGAGCGAGGAGCTCGACTCGCACAATCGTGATTCCAGGTGCAGCGCCGTCCGATTCCGCATAAATTTCGCGCTTCCTTATGTCCGAGCGAACGTGTCGGAGCACAGTTTCTCTCCTGAATTGCATCGGCCTTGAGGTGGCGAGGGAACGACGCAGTTCACACGAATCCGCGGCTCTTTGTCCGAGCCTCCTTCGTCGGCCGTTATTGCCGTCGAACTCGTAGAACGAAGTCGGCGCGACCGTTCCTCGCACGAAACGCAACAATGACTCCGATTAGGCTCTCGCTGCGGCTGCTACGCTGTCTCGACGCGTAACGCTGCCTCTTATCGTTCGTCGCATGATGAACGAACCATATTTATGTAAGCTTCTGTGAATAATTGACGCTTTATCGGGACAGCCGAGTTTTCCGTCTTCGACGAGCGGGACTTTATCTTTAACCTTGAACATCGGCAATTTCAACGGATTTCAGTGTTCACGGTGGTTTTCCCTAGTTTTCTGGTTCCTGTACTCGGGGATTCTCGTTGCAAAATGCATCTTGATGAACTGCAATTACGTTCATTGCGCGACAAGACTTAATTGTAGTGATTACTGCAGGGTACAGCTAATTGTACCCTGTTGGATTCCTGATGAAGTAGATTAATTAAATAAACTGGACGTGTATAATCAATAATAGTTTAATGGTTTAATGATAGCGTAATTTTACATTCCTTGCATAAATCATGATATTTCGTTAGAATTTAATTTATTGTATTTTATTCTATTCTACCTGATTTTATTTTATTCTATTCTACTTCATTTTATGTTACTTTATTCTTATTTTGTTTAATTTCATTTTATCCTCTTATTTTATTCTATCAATTTTATTTTATCGTAACCAATCGAATTCGTTGAATAAGCTAAACGCGGAGACAAGGTGAACTGCATACAATTATTACAACGTGTACAGTAATCACTCGAGTTTCAAAACGAGTTCGAATTCATTCGGCTAATAAACCTGCGCGAACCACGGACGGAACATGCAATCTTCTTGTCACGGCGCGTCCACTAATGATCGCGGGAGTCGCAAGATCGATGTATCAAAGGTATTTCGACACGCGACATTTACAGAACGTCCGGACGACGTTCGATAATCGATCACCGATTCAAAATCATCGACCACGGTTCATCGTTTCGGCACAACTCGTCGATGATCGATCCACCGTAATTGCTGGCTAATAAATCCGACTTTTCGAGCGACCCAAGTCGGTAAGTCTCTAGCCAATCCGGTTAAAACGAGATTTCTCAATGAAATTCACGATCGAGATAAGAGGTGCGATTGCGACAGAGGATACTGGTTCGAGGAAACGACGACGCGCCGCGATGAAAATACGACGTAGAGCAGCTGTCAAAGCGTGCGCTGCCGCACAGCTGATTGCGATTATGTAAGTCCTCGAACGCGTAGCTGAACGCACTGCGTCGCAGAGCGTCGATTATATACACCACCAGACGCCGCTCATTCGTCGAAACGTCGAAAACACACTATCGTTTCACGTTAAAACGCTATTCATCGTCTACGAACCAGTCTTCGAACTGCGTCTCTAGCCAGTTTGCTGGCGGCGACATGCTTTCGATCTAAAGCCTCGAAGATGTAATCTCAGAATCTGTGCTAATTCAATAGATAAGTCATGACACCGCTGTGGGTTAGCAATTTAGCTGCCGGAAGTCTGCTGACCGTTTTAGAGCTCAATAAAATAATATGAAACTCTGTGTACTGTTATTTATACTTCACACGATATTATATTCATAGCACTCTGTTCACGATGCTATACGTGTTTATAGTACTCGACATGTACTACTTAGCAAACCAAAAATTCGTTGAATACCACGAACAACCCTAATTCGTAAAACGAGATACCCTAATTCGTGAATCAACTATTCCGTCCCAACAAGAGGCAATTGGAAATGTTTGTGAAGCATTTATTGGATGGTTCGCACTCCAAATTCACCCCTTCGCGCAAATTATGAATTTGTACGAATTCGTTCCCTCAAATATTCTTCATAGTTTAATCTACAATGGTGTTCCTGCTTATTATACATATACATTCGTTGTAACAATTACTGCATCAATCGCAACAGTTTCAAGAAACAGTTACGCAGATCCGACAAAGGAAATCGAGCTGGCTCTATAAATTCTAACGATTCGCAATTACCAGTAATAATTGTAAGTGGGTTATGCCAAATTAAACTGTACATCCTGTAAAATTAGTGTCTTATGTTTATATAGAAAAAAGAAATATTTTATTCCCAAGACATGGGTGTAAATTTAATTTGCAAACGACTGTGCACAATTCACGAAATGGTCAAACAGTCGGAAGACTGTGCAAACGTCTACCACCAATTGCAACCCAACTAGAACATTTACCGTGGCGATCGGAATTCAATTTATAAAATCAGCTGCTGTCCTATATTTCCTCTCGAGTCTTAAACCGGGGGTTTCAATTCGCAGCGAGGATTAATGAAAACCCTAAAATGGTCAATCAGTGAATTTTCCATGCATCCACCACCACTCCAACCTGGCTGGGACATCTCCCGTGGCAAACAGAATTCAAACAATTTACAAAATCAACAAATACGCGCCTATATTTCTGCAAACGTTTCGTTCGAAGTGAATCTATTTAGCAAAAAAGGACGAGCACAATCCGAGAGATGCGTATTCAGACAGAACCCCGTACATCCGCACCCCACTCCAAGCTAGGCCCATCCACCCACAGAGGGTGTCGCTGTCCTCCATCTCCAAAACAACACCCATCCGTCGGGAATAGGTAAACCACACTCCCGATTTCCTTATCCAGAATCCACAAGGATCGGGACAAGATGGGAAAAGATGGAAAAGAGGAATATCGACGAGGGAGGTCGAGCTCGGCCTGTCCCGCGTCTAGGTTCCGGAAACAAACAGGCGGCGGCTGCGGCGACGTGGCCGCGATCCGCGCAGGCTAACTGCATCGGAGAACTCTGTCCGTTGCACAGGTAGGTATGCCAGAGCGTTTCGCATCGCGGCGAATAGAAGGGACCAGGAGCGTTCTACGTCGCGGCGTGGATCGATCGAGCAAAGTCGGAGAGCCGACGGAAAGATTGAACGGGGAACAGAGCGAGAGACTTTAAGATGCGGTACAAGAATATCGCGCTTGGGAATCGGGTCAAGGATTCGCGTTGGATCTCGAAGAGGCTCCGAGAGACGCCCGTAATATCTCGGCAATGATAGATCAGATCAGCTCTACTCACTGTTGCCTCTCGTCGTATGCGCCCGACCTCCTAGATGTCACCGGATATTATATCCCTGGCCGATCGACCTGGCGGACCACGGGCAAAGCTGATTCCCGTCTCTCCGTCTGTCTCTCTTGGGCGCTCACTCGCGATCTTATATCGCCGCGATCATCAAGCCAGATGTGGACCCCTCGCGACACCCGAACAGAGGTTAGAGTGTATAAAAAAAAAAAAAGGTAACCAGTGCTGTGTGCCGAGAGCACCGACACACGAACGTGCCGCTCGCCGTCCACCGTTGAACTGATTTCTGGCTCCTTTGTTTAGTAAACAGAAACAGCTGAGCCGCGCTACTGGTTACGCTGGTGGAGGTGGCGGGAGACAGGTCTCCTCTCTACGACGCGCGACCACTGCACCGCGCAAGCACGCCGCTTGACAGGTCACGTGGCCCCGCTCGCTCAGCCAATCACCCGATGCCGCGACTCAGGGCCGTAGCGTTCGCGGCACCGCGGTGGTTTGACCTTTAGAGCACCGTTGCTACGTTCCGAGAAAAATAACAAATTATGCTGTACCAGACAGTTTTATCTGTCGTGGTATCCTCGGCTCTTCCATGTGACCCAGGTTACAGTTCTCTGTACCGAAAATTCTGTGTACAGTGGTCTCTTCTTCTTAAGAACGACGCACTTTGGACAACAAAGGACTCGTACAGGACTCGTCGAACTGTTTGGAACGAGGAACTGTCTCGATTTAGTGCTTATTTAACTGTCATTCAAATTCTGGTATTGTTTGTTGGAACTCGTTATTTGAGCCGTTCACAGGCCAAATCGATTGGCTCCACTTTTTGAAATATTTTAAATTTCAGTGTCAAAGCACTTGGTTCAGTCGTAACTTCTTTTTATTTATGATAAATTTCCCAAGTAATAGAGAATAGCGCTGTTGAACAACAAAATTGTTTTGGTCGCCGAATAATAAATAATTTGTTTCAGCCGATAACAATTACACCGAAGCTATCCTGTCTTATTCATTCTACATGTATTTACATGAAAGCTACATCTGTATTTATGCATTATGCAATGTTTATTTCAACTTTTATTTTAAAGAGAATTTTGAAGAACAATGCATATTATTTCATCACATTTCTCGACTTTCTGTTTCATGGAGTTAATCGATTATTTAGACTAATTAGTTGTACTATCCTTTGCTTTAATCTTTATTTGTTCCGATTTGTTATTTGCCCGATTATCGTCCAATTATGCTATCATTCGTTGCGATACGTTCGTGCTTTCGGTTCGAATTTATTGTATTCGCTTAAACTTCGTTCTGCGTGAAATTGAATGGAATCTTTTCTTGCATAATTTTTCATGTAAGTTAATTAAGTAATTCGAACGCGAATGCAATATCTTTATTTTTCTTTTCTTGTAGTTCTTGTTTGTGAAGTTCATTCGGTCGACTAATGATCCACTCATGTTTATCATGTTTTTCCAAGATGATAGGTAAACTGTGGACTTTAAGCGAGATAAAAATTGTTTCATTATTTGCGAGATATAGAAGTCGTTTTAATGTTTAGTTCTTTCATCAATCTAACTCGTGTCTGCCATAAATGCGTGGACATTTCTTTCTCTACTTAATTCCATTCGTGTTTCTAATGCATAGAGATATGTTTCTTCGCTTGATTTAATTCGTGTTTATAATGGATATTTATTTCTTCACTTGGTTTAATTCTTGTTTTTTATTGGATAGATATTTATTTCTTTGCTCGATCTAATTCGCGTTTATATCGTGGATAGACATTTATTTATTTTCTTCATTTCATTCCTGTTTATCTTGGATAGACGTTTATTTCTTGTTTCGATTTCAATCGCGTTTCTAATGCGTTGACATTTATTTCTTTCCTTGATTTCATTCGTGTTTACCGCGAATAGACATTTGCTTTTTTCCTCGATTTAACTTGTCTTCGCCACGAGTGCACGAAGATCTGCAACCCAGTGACAAATACCGAACGTTCGCTACTTGTGCAACCGCATCGCTCGCATCGTCCCGCGGCCTGCGAACAGCCTTAAAGATTACCGAAAAACGTGTTCCTAGAGAACTGCGGAACGTTATTAATTCTCGAACGGTAGAACACAGCATAGAACGATCCTGTCGCGAACTTTGTCACCGAGATCTTTGTAGATCGAATTCTTCCCTTGAACGATCCATCGAGCAGCGGTTCCCCATTCTCGATCGAGCGATGAAATTAGAACGCGGCAGGAATTTCAGTGTCACGGAGAAAGAAGTCGCGGATTTCATGAATGCGACGCGGTTGCGAAACGCGAATCTGTAATTCATCGATGGCGCGTAACTGATGTTACGTGATATCCCTGGCCAAGGAATGCCGTTAGACACGGTGTTAGGCGCGAAAACGCTCGATGACTACGCCGCTGCCGTGCAACCTGTTTTACCGTTACGAAACTTACCCGAATCATCGAACGCGCCGCCACGCTCTGCTAGCTTATTTTCATTTTCGCCGGAATTCCGAATGATTTCTAGCGGATGGCACATCCGCAACGATCGATGTCCAGCGATTCTGCAATCGGTTACGAAAGATCCGCGCGCGAAGGTGTTCGGGATCGATAAGATCGTCGTCGTGAACCCGATTTCGTCCCTTAAACAATGTTATATTATTTATTGATACATAGAATTTATCAATAATACCATCAGCTAACAGTATTACACTTGTTCCTGTCTAGTTTCCCGAAGGTTCTCGTTTTTTTTTGTTCTCGTTTGCGAAATTATAATACATACATATGTCGGGGGGCACGCCCCCTCGATCGACGCTTCTCTCTTTCTCTCTCGCTTTCTCTCTCTCTCTCTCTCTCTCTCTCTTTCTCGCTCGCTCTTTGTCTCGTCATTCTTTGTATTTACCGCGCAGATTACTATGTTAGATCACAATTACAGATCATACATACACGTATAATTACACATTATGACGTTACATACACGTGTTGCCTTACATATATATGTATATATATAATATATATATACCTTTGTATTTATATATTTATATATTTATAAATTATGGATCTGATTCGCTCCGGGATATGTCCGACGCCGTGGTCCTCCTTTAATTTCGAGGCCCGACGCCGACTGGAAAATGAAACGGTGCTAGGATCACCGAGAGTGATAGATATAAACGTAGCCTAAACTTGTCGCTAGCCCCTAAAACGGTGTTCCTCGAACCACCTAATTAAGTTCGTTGATACAAGTGAGGCAAATCTGCTTTCGTCGACGAGGATACTCTTGATTTTTGCACGCGGATTGGTCGGCTACGACGATCGCTAGAAGTCATTGTTAAAGGAACGTTTTAGCCGTATTCGATTGTTCAGCTCGAGGCGCATGCTAACCTGTAGAAAATGCGTTCTCGCGACGCTCGATAAAAAGCTGCCGGACGAAATCATCGGCTAAATCTGCGACAGCGCTGCGAATTCGCGCGGAATTTCGCGCGGGAAAGACAATGATGCGCGTTCAAAGGGGTTCTATATCTTTCATTGCATGATTCGCGTGGACACGCTCATTCTAATCTGCTTAAATTCACCTGTACAGAACACTAATCTCTCTCTCTCTCTCTCTCTCTCTCTCTCTCTCTCTCTCTCTCTCTCTCACGCACTCTTAATTTACTTATTTTTTTTGTTTTCGGTTTAGCGTTAATGATACAACAACAAGACTACGTAGCTTATATCTATGAACCGTACGGTTTAATTGCTAACTGCAGCAATCGGATATAGGAGCGCCAACAGGCGGAGGTTGCAACGATCCTGCAAGATTCAGCGGACTGACGGAAACTTTGTGAATCGTGATCGCGAGCGCTTCGGCGGGTCAAGGTAGTAAGAATAAATGTCCAGCAGGATCGATGAAGAGGGTGTCCACTTTTTTATGTTTTCTGCCTCCTGGAGTTCGCAACGATCGATTCTGGCTATCTTCTACATATGTATGATACATATGTTGGTTTTTAATTATGTAATGAAATGTATGTGAATATTAATTCCTCCCCTCCGCGGACCCCTCCATTTCGCGTTGTCGAATGCGGTATACTCATATTTACGGTTATGAGACAATCTCTGACTCATAAAATGATTTAACAGTGTAAACACGCTTTAAACACGCGAAATTGATTCGCTTACACGAAGAAAGTTCTGATCAGAATTCGAAAAACACCTGATGCCTAAACATTCGTGTTCAATCACGTCAATTTATTCATATTATTGACGTACCGAAGAATTGTCAAGTTCAAGTATCATGTAACAGAAATAAGTGTATGAGCCTCTGCACTGAATGTAACAAAAATATTTACGGAAAATGTATTTCAACAGCTGAGTTTACATGTAAAAAATGTTTTCAATAGTTGTTTTTATTAATAATAATGCTTTTTAATGAATTGTAATAATAAAAATGTGTTTTAATAAATTTTTAATAGTAATGTTTTTAATAATTGATTTAAAATTAATAAATTTACATAAAACTAATAAAATCAATAAATTTTAAAAAATTGATTTGGAAGTACTCTTTTTTACAAGAAACCTCAATTTTGTTGTACGAGTCAAATTGGCTCAACGCAGTAAAAATAGGTATACAATCAACATCCGTAAATCTAGCGTTTATTTGAGTTTGGTATACTCGCGCTTGGTTATGATTGGCTAAAATGGTGGCAGTCTAAGAGGAACATAAGCTGCTTCTCTCTCTAAATCTTTTAGACACTCGTCGATATTTCAGCGAAACGAGCGAAGCCCGGTTCGACTGATCGGGGGCCCAAGTGCATCGACGCTAACGGTTCGTCGCGAAAATTAGACTACGCTGGAAGATGCAAAAGCGAACGCGTTAATAGGAATGTAAATTTTAAGTGTCTACGGGGATTCGATCGGATCGATCTCCAGGCGGCTCGTTAATTCGAAATTGGAAAAGAACTCGGGCGGAGCCTCTAATGTCGATCGCGATCGCACACGTCGAGGCTCGTTTATTATTAGACGGCGGATTTTATACATTTATTAGAAACATTGGCACGTGAAATACGGAATAGTGAAGATATTGAAAGAATTCAAAGAACATTNTCACCTGTACAGAACACTAATCTCTCTCTCTCTCTCTCTCTCTCTCTCTCTCTCTCTCTCTCTCTCACGCACTCTTAATTTACTTATTTTTTTTGTTTTCGGTTTAGCGTTAATGATACAACAACAAGACTACGTAGCTTATATCTATGAACCGTACGGTTTAATTGCTAACTGCAGCAATCGGATATAGGAGCGCCAACAGGCGGAGGTTGCAACGATCCTGCAAGATTCAGCGGACTGACGGAAACTTTGTGAATCGTGATCGCGAGCGCTTCGGCGGGTCAAGGTAGTAAGAATAAATGTCCAGCAGGATCGATGAAGAGGGTGTCCACTTTTTTATGTTTTCTGCCTCCTGGAGTTCGCAACGATCGATTCTGGCTATCTTCTACATATGTATGATACATATGTTGGTTTTTAATTATGTAATGAAATGTATGTGAATATTAATTCCTCCCCTCCGCGGACCCCTCCATTTCGCGTTGTCGAATGCGGTATACTCATATTTACGGTTATGAGACAATCTCTGACTCATAAAATGATTTAACAGTGTAAACACGCTTTAAACACGCGAAATTGATTCGCTTACACGAAGAAAGTTCTGATCAGAATTCGAAAAACACCTGATGCCTAAACATTCGTGTTCAATCACGTCAATTTATTCATATTATTGACGTACCGAAGAATTGTCAAGTTCAAGTATCATGTAACAGAAATAAGTGTATGAGCCTCTGCACTGAATGTAACAAAAATATTTACGGAAAATGTATTTCAACAGCTGAGTTTACATGTAAAAAATGTTTTCAATAGTTGTTTTTATTAATAATAATGCTTTTTAATGAATTGTAATAATAAAAATGTGTTTTAATAAATTTTTAATAGTAATGTTTTTAATAATTGATTTAAAATTAATAAATTTACATAAAACTAATAAAATCAATAAATTTTAAAAAATTGATTTGGAAGTACTCTTTTTTACAAGAAACCTCAATTTTGTTGTACGAGTCAAATTGGCTCAACGCAGTAAAAATAGGTATACAATCAACATCCGTAAATCTAGCGTTTATTTGAGTTTGGTATACTCGCGCTTGGTTATGATTGGCTAAAATGGTGGCAGTCTAAGAGGAACATAAGCTGCTTCTCTCTCTAAATCTTTTAGACACTCGTCGATATTTCAGCGAAACGAGCGAAGCCCGGTTCGACTGATCGGGGGCCCAAGTGCATCGACGCTAACGGTTCGTCGCGAAAATTAGACTACGCTGGAAGATGCAAAAGCGAACGCGTTAATAGGAATGTAAATTTTAAGTGTCTACGGGGATTCGATCGGATCGATCTCCAGGCGGCTCGTTAATTCGAAATTGGAAAAGAACTCGGGCGGAGCCTCTAATGTCGATCGCGATCGCACACGTCGAGGCTCGTTTATTATTAGACGGCGGATTTTATACATTTATTAGAAACATTGGCACGTGAAATACGGAATAGTGAAGATATTGAAAGAATTCAAAGAACATTGTTACAGTATTTTCGATCGATCGAAATTATTAAAAGAAGAAACGCATTTTAATTTAGCTCTGGTTTCGTAATTAATAATATCCGCTGTCTACTTATCATCGTTCGACGGATTGCGACTAAACACTTGCGAAGCCGTTTGGAATCACGATCGATGTCCGAAGTCGTGCTAAATCAGGGGTCACAACCTCCTGGAGTTGACTGGTCCTCCTCGTACTCTCATTCGCTCGATCACAGGCATACACGGTAAACTCACACGCACGATATATGAGAATACACGATCGGTAGGCAAGCCGGGATATCAAACATAGATCGATAGATCGCTAGTTTGAATCCCATTCCTACGGATATTTATCTATGTACCCATTATTGTGTCATTATTCGGATTTCCCCTTTTTTCTGTAGATACACAAACGCCGTTCCGGATCCATCGCACGACGCGGTGCGATATTACGCTTAGGTGAGATCACGAGCTGGAAACGCTTTATCCCGAGCGGCGGGATCACCTGGATAGGTGCGCACCCTCGGGATCCGTTTAATGTATCAAACGCAAAACAGACCGCCACGACCCGGACGGAAAAGCTTTGGCGCTGCTTCTCAAAGAACGGAATCCAATTCTCCCTACGGTCCGTCCAATAACTCCGCCATTGCAGGCGACCATAAGTCCTAAACCATCCTCTCGTAATCTCCTCTAACAGACTATTTCTCTACTCGCGTTGCAGCTTAGGAGCCTTTACATTTTTATACATATATATCAGACAATGGAACATTAGTCACAATACGTATAGTCACAAACTCGTTTTGCGACTGTATTATGCATATCTAATCACTAGACCGCGGATCTCCATGCAAAATAAAAACTTTACAAGACGATATTTATACGAAGTAGCAGAGATGAATTGAAAGTGAGTTGTTTTATTTGAATGATATGGTGTAACAGTATTTTATGAAATTCTCCTTGTGTTGTCTTCGCAACTTTATATTTCTGCCACTCATTTTTCCCATAAATGCATAAAATCCGCAGTCGCACGTAATTTAGAAGCCGCTACCAGTTAATACGTAATTATGACAGACAATTAATTTTTGTTAAGCTCAAAAGTAATGTTTTCTGCTTTTTTCTCGTAACGTTTGTACGAAGTATTATTACGTTCGTCTGAGTTTTTATTCAATCCAAAACATGGGACAAACTCGGGACAAAATGTCATTTTGCACTTTAAACAAAACAAAAAATGAAAATAAAACAGGTAAACGTAGGTGAGATTCGTCAACGAATGTTTCAAACTGGAATTACATAGGTCATATATTTTTTTCTTTTTGTTATCTTGTCCTGAACAAAAACGTCCCATTCACGGTAGTTCTCCCCTATCAGAGACGACAATTTTTTTTCAATAAAACAAGCAATAAAACGAAAGGATTTCCACCGATCCAGCAATTGTTACGTCGCTCGGCGTTATCGCAAAATTACGAAGGACCCGTTTCCTGCATTGGCAAACACGCTCCGAGAACGGAGCCACCGGTGCGACATGCAGCCGCCATCTTGTCGGAGCCACCAGAGGACACAACGACGCTAGCAACCCACGATTCAATGCATCGTCTCGCGCTGACACGGATCAGAGCGACAATCTACAACCGACACGATCGGTCGATTAACTCTACTTATGATGCTGGTTTGGCGTGCCGAATATCTCATATCTGCGAAGGGACCGCGGGACCGGCGCCCCGAACGGCGTCTAACAGGTCGCCGCGGTCAGTTTACTTATAAGTCAAAGACTAGAATGGACTCTTCCGGTTCTCCTTTGCAGGATGAGAAAAAACGTTGAACGTAAAACGCCCAAAAATCCTGAACGGAAACTTACGTGTCTAGGTCTTCGTTCCCTGATTAATCGCTACTTCATCCGACCGACTCTTCCTTACCCTAATGGATATATGTGTGCATCGTCCTCTCACTCTCTCTTCCTCTCCTCCCTCTCTCTCATACACACAAACACACAAAACACTCTCGTTCTTTCTCTCATTCATTTATTCATTCATTCATTCATACATTAATTCTCTCCCTCACTCTCTCTCTTTTTTCTTTTCTCTCTCTCCCTCTCTCTCTCTCTCTCTCTTTCTCTCCCTCGCAGACATACACGCGCGCGGAACTGTTCGCGGCCGGAGATCCATAGATCCCGCCGCGATCAGAACATAAATTTACGTGTACTGCTTATGACTATATTCTATGCGAAGCGTTCGAGGCTGTTCTTATCGTTAGCAACGAAACGCCCGCGACACTACTAGTGGATCATTCATATAGGATACCGCGCGAGCTCGATCCTGTCTCGCTCGCGCGAAATTATAGACTATAATTGTCTCCTTAATTGTCTAGTAACCGACGACGCTTAGTATCGATAAACTACGCTCTACGACTGGATAACATTCGATATAGATCATCTGCAAGCTCAAACGAATAAGATATGCTATGCGATCCTCCGAATTGCAACCATTTACACTTAATTAACAACTATTGTCCTCTGATCGACGTGTTTTATGCATGTGTGTTCGCTCGTGTACGTGTGCATGCGTGTGCGTGTGTTGTGTGTACAGCCCCCTCCAAAAGTATTAGGAGTCTAATTACTTATACTTACTAATTACTAATTACTAATGACTAGTTACTTATACTTATTTCTTAGTAATATTTTATGTTTTGTATTAAGTTTTATGGCATCGCATCGTCGAAAGTACACGTTAAATTAAAAGTGTCCGTCACTTATGCAATTAGTTTAGCCATTTTAGACCAAGAATTTCAAAACGCGGTGGATATATCGGCGAAAAGAAAATTGAATTTTTTTTTATAAGATCAATGTTATTTTTATTATAATGGAAAAAATAATATAGATATACGTACTTATTATCGTTTCGTATAATTAACTTTGAAATGAATTGAGGAAATTATAACAATTTCCTATCGGTTCCTTAAATTTATTTAATTTTCTCTCTCTTTATCTCTCTCTCTCTCTCTCCTAATACTCTCGGAGGGGATGTTGCCCGCGTATGTAGATGAGCGTGTTCCCTGTGTGTAGGTAATCCCGTGTGTCCACCCGATCGGCTGGGAGCAACGCGTTCTATCCGAAGACGAAAGAACCGAGAAAAATAGAAAGAAACTCCTGACGAACTAGTTAACAGGTGGCCGGCAACAGCCACTGGCTATCGATTCGCTCTTTGACGAACAGCGTGGCAAAGCGTTTTTCGCCGCGAGTCCGTGTTTGACTACTTAGCAAGCTAAACTGAACGTAAAATCGGTATTGTCCACCCTTACAAATTACTTGTTTCGTACGTACATTGTTTCGTTAACGGCTACGAGTTCAGCCGGGTTCCCACTTCGCTCGAGACGGAAGAGCCAACGAGTGGATTCCCTTCGACAAATTCTCATAACGCCGTTCTCTCGTCGACTTTATTAATTACTGTACGATTAAGGGCGCGCCCCCGTTCGGTATAATGATCACGAGCACCCCGCCGCGCGCGAAATCTCCACGATTGGCCCATTTTCGACGCTTTATAATTATACTACTACTACTACTACTAATAATAATAATAATAATATAATAATAATAATAATAGTAATAATAATAATAAAATAATAATAATAATAATAATAATAGTAATTAACACTTTGACTGCCACGTCACCCATATGTGGGTGATGGAATGATTTGTTCAGACATGACAATTAATTATTACGTTAATCTATTATATCTTCCTAATTCTATTTAATTTAATTAATTTAGTTATTTATTTATTTATATATATATATACGGGTGAAAACCTATTTTTTACAATACAGAACTAAAAGCTAATACTACTATAATACAATGCAATAAAATAGAGTTATCGCGATTTGTAAGACGTAAGATCATTGGGAAAGCAATCGATGTCGCACAACTCCGCTTCTCGATTTTAATTCGATTAGATAAAATTCTTTAATTTTGTGAAACATACGCGGTTGTCGGCGTGGCAGTCAAAGCGTTGAACGAGCAGAGATCTCGGCTAGATATCGGATTGGATCGTATACTGCGAGATACGTACGCGATAAGGATGTACGAATTCCGTACGTTCCGTACGAAGGAACGGAACTTTGGATGAAGAGGTAATTCGTTGCGAAGCCTGTCCTAATCGTAGTCGCGATTTCCCGTAAGCTGGATCGACAGATCCACGACGAATCGCGATCGCCCCGCGCGGCGGCGCACGGTTTCTTACGTTGAGCAGGTGTAATATTGTCGTTCGGTAAACGTTACAACGATTCTTATACTACAGACACAGCTCAGACCGATCGCGGACTGTCGAGACGGGTTTTTCGATCGAGTAGGAACACGGCTTGATCGGGAAGACGCGCGGCGAGAACCGATCCAGGCGGACCGAGCCGAGCAAACGAACGCGATATACATACATATAATTGGATAATACTGACGCGCGCTCGATGCTCGATCATTTTTCACACGTCTTAGGAAATCTCGAATTCGTCCTGCTCGCCGCGGAGATCGTTCGCCGCGCGTCCAGTCACAGGCATCGTTTTCTCTATGTTCGTCTCCTATATATCAACGGCGAATTATCTGCGCGCAGGCGCCGCAAACACCTGGACCTTGTTACCTGGCGGGATTCGTTTATTCGGAGTCGGAATCGAAGTCGGAGTCCGGATGCACCTCCGGCACCTCGCTCGGGACTTCCGGCGTCGTTTCCGGGATCTTCTTCGCGATCGTCGCCGACACGTACGCGCCCGGCCCTTCGCCCTGCGTGTGCTCGATCTCGACCCTGGAACATCGTCGGGATCGTTACAGTCACGGCGAGAAATTGTTGAAACACCGCGAAAACCGAGATACTTCGTGGTTAATCCTTCTCTTCGCAGTTATTGCGATTAGAAATTTTTCGATTGCAATAACTTCTTAGAAGGGAATGAAAATTGATGCTTATTGCTAGCGTAAATTTACTTGAATGCTTGATCATAAGATTGATGGTAAGAGATTAGAATTGTATTCCAATTTTAAAGGACAGAATAATATCTATATTCGATAAATTGTTACTAGAAATTTTCATCACGAGTCGAACTCGTGAAAATACGGCAAGGGGGTGCGAAATCGGCAGAATCTGCTGGATGTTGAAAGACAATTTGGGTGGACCGTTTGAAACAGTTCACCCCTGAATAATTCGTTTGTCTTTAACACTAGGTTTACGTGACGGTTCGACAATTGGTTGACGCATAATCGAGCTGCTGCCACTGGGGCATGTAAAAATTATCTGATTTTTGTTGGAAATAGTGAAAAACTGCTGTTTTCACGAGCATTAAATTTTCACTGCTCGTAACAACGCCAACCGATCTCTCAATGAAACGTTCATAAGTTATCGAGAAGTACCAAATGCATTTCTCAAATTTTCATTGTAGGCTCGAATAAGAAATGTGAAAATAACGAGTGCTTTTGCATATTTCTTTTATTCCGAGTAATAGAAAAATGAGATCGACAAAAATTACCCCTTCTTTTACGTCGAATAGAATTCAAGGATAAAAAGTATATCATTCTATTTTAGAAAATTAGGTTCGACCTTCGTATCTCTTCTTCACCTCCAAACTCTTTTTTTCATTGTTAAAGACAAACCAGTTATTCAAGCGACTCGTTTTAAATGTTCCACCCCGTAGAAAGTGTGTGGGTCGACGAAAGGGTTCGAAGATCCCCAGAAGATTTGCAAACGGATCGTTATCGGCGAATTTCAGAAATTATTATTCATTATTCATTATTATTATTATTATATTAATTATTTTAAGGTTCTGTGAACGAAGTACAGTAACGTCTTTCTAATTGACGCTCCGATTGTCCACAAAAATGGACACTTTAGGAAGAGAAGATACGATATTTTATCGCTTGTCCCAACAACTATAAAAAACGAGCTACAAGGTTCGAGTAATCGTATCTCCTCTTCCCAAATTATCCATTTTCGTGGACAATCTGAGCGTCAATTAGAGAGACATTATTGTATTAGATTTCTCACCTGTACTCGTGCCGCGACAGGTTCCTTACGTATTTCTCAGGCGGAGCGTCGCTGTCGCTGTTCTGAAAGCTGACGCTTCTCGCCGTCGTATGGGACACTTGCGTGGCCGGCATAGTGAACTCCACGTAGCAGTACTCGGAGAGATTCTCTGGTATCTGGTCGTAAGAAGTCAGAGCCATGCGACAGACCAGCTGATGCGTTGTGTACGCCCCTGAAAATGGCCGAAACTTGTTAGAAACTGAACCGAGGATCGCTCTCGATGAAAAGGTCGAAGCAACGGAAGCTACCTTGACCCTCCTTCGGCAACCTAGGCATCCTCCAGACGATGGCGCGATGCTGATGCTCGTACTTCGCTTGGCCCGAGGTCACCTCCATCAGCTGCGGCTCCAAGGTGTCCACAGCGCCGAGGAATCGTTCTATACCTTTGATCTTTCCGGTTCTCCTGTGGGCAGACTTCACCGAGCCGTACCTGAAGTGCTTCTCCACCCTGAACAGATAGATCCAGCATTCGGGAATGGGGAATCGGACCATCACGTCCTCGCAGGGCACTTGGCCGAGCTTTCTCGAGGCGAATCCTGGCACCAGGATGTCCGCTCTCAGCTCCACCTAGCATGAAAATCAGTGTGAACTCCGTCGAAATTGCAGTTAGGGTTGACGGGGCACCGTTTACAGTAAATTCTCTCAAATAGACCCTCAGCTTGGAATCGAGAAATGGACAACATAGGAAGACTAGACACGATTTTTCGAGTCTCGCGGCTTGCCTTTATAGTTACCGATATCTCGTGAGAGAGAGAGAGAGAGAGAGAGAGAGAGAGAGAGAGAGAGTCGGTAAACTTAAAAGCCAGCGACCAGCATATCGGTGTACATTAATACAAATGCACAATAATGCTAGAATAAAAGCAGTGCCTTAACTTCTTTATTTCTAATTTTTCACGCCAAATTTTTGTCAGATTCTTCCAATTAAGATGAGACCAAATACGGCATGAATTACACCATATTGCCATGAACACACAAATTGCCTCTAAGCTTGGACTCGAAAAATGGACAACTTGGGGAGACCATACACGTCAATGCGAATAAAACGAATAAAAACGATGCAATTACTCCTTCATTTCTAATTTATTTTTAAGTGAAAATCTTTTTTAACACATTGGCGAGATTCTTCCAATTAAAGTGAGACCGAATACGACATGATTGCACCATTGCACCATATTTATTCAATCACATTGCGATTGATTTTATTACAAGTAATCAGAAATATCTGTCCAAAATATATATCATATCAGCTTTAAAACGTTGAAATTAATTTGTTATTCTGTTACGAGCTGTCATTCCGGGAATCTTAGTCGATACTTCGACGAACATTAGCACAGGCGTAGGAATGACGCGTATAGGCGTAGAAATCGAGCATATAGGCGTAGGAATAGCGCGGGGATAATGCGAGCAGACTTCTAACAGGGGCAATGTGGGAGAATTTACTGTATCGTACTCGTTAGTTCGGGCAACGTTGACTAAGGTTCGACCATTACCTTGTTACCGGTAACGCACATTACGGCTTTAAGCTGCAGGGGAAGCTCTCTGTTCTTAGGCGGTCGCACCCGGAATCGCATGAGTTCGATATAGCATGCATCGGGTGGCTTGAACCTTTGAACGGGTTAGTCACGGTTAATCGCAGTCGGCAAATCGATGGCGTCGGGCTCCGCGGAAGGTTCGAACGGTCTTTTTGCAGCGAAAGCTGATCGATCGATCGACGAACTCGCCGATGAAGACGACTGAACTTTCCGCGGAATCCGATGCCCGGGGTTAGAAGGTGTTAGCGAACAATGTTTCTAGGTGGGTCGATGCACGTACTTTATGATCCTTGATCTCTCATACTCGTCCTGCTGGACGCACGCGTGGAACTCCACGTTCTCCAATCGAATCCATTCTTCCGTCACGACTGGAATGATGTCGTGCCGCCCTACCACTTCCTTCCCCTGCCTCCACATGTCGTTTATTCCCAGCTCGACGTCGGGCATCCCTGGAATAGTAATTCGATTCCAATCGTTGTCAATTGATCTCTCAGATAATAAACTGGTACGATGTTCCACAATTTGATCGTGTTCAATGACAGGGTAGCGGAGCCTATTATTCTGAGGTCGCTTTATATTTATCGAATGAGAGATATTAAATTCTTTCATTGACACATTACGGTTCGGGCTTGTGCGAAAGCTTTAGCGCGTAGTGCAGCGTGCAGCTTGAAAAGACGGGTCCTTATTACCAAAAGAAATTGAAGTTTTAACCGTTAAATTTTTGTTATTAAGCTTTGACTATTATTAGTCGTTCGGACGGTAATGCGTTACGATATGAACGAAACGAAAGAATAGAAAAATAAGTTATCCGGGCGAACAAACGAACGGCTCACCGGAAAGGAAACCCAAGAAGAACAGTCGAACGCGCGCGATCTGCTTGTCCACGTGGCCCTCGGCGCTCTGTTCTACATAAAGCTCGTCAACGACGGTGATCTGCACCTCCTCCATCTTGTAAGTCAGCGCCCGGTCTCGATGAGCCAACAGTCTGAACAGAGCTTCGTCGATCGCGCAGGAGAACTGTTTCAGGTCCTCGTAGTTCTGTGAGCCCAGTTTGAACAGCTGTGAAATCTGCAACGCGATCATCCTTTAAATAAGGCAACAATCACTCCTGATTCGATCGATCGAAACGAACGAAACGTGCCTGTGGCGCGTGCTCCACCGGCAGTCCCAGCTTCTTCAGGTCGCTGCCGAACTCCTTCACCCCCTGATAGTCACCCTGGATAGCGTACGCGGCGAACTGGCTGAGCTTGTTGGTCAGCCTCTCGGCTTTCGTCACCTGGCCGGGCCTGACCCCGGGTCGTTCCTTGTAGAAGATGTACTGCAGCTTCACCGTGAAGATTTTGCCGTATTGATCGAACTGTTGCGCCCCGATGTCGGACACCGAGTAGCAAGGTAGGAGCGGCAGCTCTTGGAAAGGGTCTTTGTCGTCCTTGTTGTTGAACAATTGCAGAACAGGATTGTCGCCCTGGTAGACCAGCTTCAGGAAGACCTTCTTCCAGAACCGCTGCCCGGTGATCTTCTTCTTGTTCGGCTGTCTCAGCTGCATCTCCCAGCCGTCCCCGGTGTACGTCACCCTCGGGAAGTCCTCCAACGGCTGGCTAACGTCCTCGTCGAACAGCGGCGTGGGCGGAGTTTCCTGAAAAGTGTATTTCACCGGTAGGAAAATATATTGATCGGAGTTCCGGATATCGAATATATAATATAATAATATGAATAGATCGCGAATTTACAGTAATTTCTCCCTGGTTCGAAAATTGCGGCTCGTTTTTATAGTTACCGATTGTCAACGACTATAAAAACGTGACGCAAGGCTCGAATAATCGTGTCTCCTCTTTCCAAATTGTCCATTTTTGTGCGCGATCTGGGCGTCAATTAGGGAGAAATTACTGCATATGGAAAATAAACGTGATCCGCATCAATTGCATGCGACAGAGACTAAACAGCAAATTCATTCTATTTCTTAATCATTTTAATACATTAAAAATGATAAATCGACATCATAAGATTCCTTTAACCTTTATACCATTTTAACTTATAACCACCCAATTTTGTCACAAATGCATAAAATCCGCGGTCTAATCGTGAAGTGACGAAGGCTCTACTCGAATGCGAATGTTTCCACGCGCACCTGAGAGTCGGTCCTGGTCATTTCCGCTGTTGGAACAGCCTCCGTGGGGATGACAGCCTCCTGGCCGAAGCCAGACTTGTCGAAAGGATTGAATCTAGGCGAAGAATCGACGTACGCAGAGTTCTGGGGACTCTTAGGGGGTGGAGCTAACACTGGGACAGATCCACCCTCGATGTTGACGGCTTCGTCCCCCTTTTTGGGCCTGCGAAACGACAGCAAATATGCTCGTTAGTGGTTGTATTCTTTAAATTGTCTATTGAAAATCATTCCAGCTTGGTATTGTAAACGTTTACTTGATGAAGACGCTGAAGTCCGGCCCCTCGTCGGACTCCGCAGACTCGACCCGCTTCATCTTCGTCTCCTGCGGCGGTGCGGTCATGCTGAGGAACGAATCGAACCCGGCTGGCTCTCCGAAGCCGGTCATTGCTGTTTCTGACCCGGTGGCCGAAGAGTCGCCCCAAACTGCAGGATGAAATTGCAATACTTGTAAAAATACGAAGCTCGGAAACGGACGCGTTAGAAGCTCGATACGAATTCGAGACATCGGCCGAGTGTCTTATAACGGCTCACCATCGCTGGAAGTGTCCATGGCAGTCGGGCCGCCGCCAAAAGCGTCCATGAACGGATCAGCGTTGGCATCCGGCTCCGCGGCCTTGTCGAACTTGGACGCGAAGATGTCGAAAGCATCGCCGGTGCTCTCGATGACCTTGGTGGTTGCTGCGAAGCTGTCCAGCTGGTCCTCGGGCCTGTAAGATTCGCTGTCAGGGAACTCTGACGCTGGAAGCGGACTGGTGATGCTCGTTGGGGTGACGTCTTTACTGAGCCCCCCGAAATCCCCGAGCAAATCGGAAGCGAAGGGTCCCGAGGGCGCGGCGACCTCGCCGGTGGCGAACAAGGGTTGCGTGGGCGACGGTCGTGGCGCGGGGGTGGTGAACGGCGAGGTGGCGGTGTCAGCCATGCCGAAGGGCGTTGTGGTGGTGGTGTCAGCCATGCCGAAGGGCGCTGTGGTGGTGTCAGCCATGCCGAAGGGCGCTGTGGTGGTGTCAGCCATGCCGAAGGGCGTTGTGGTGGTAGTGTCAGCCATGCCGAAGGGCGCTGCGGTGGTGGTGTCGGTGACGGAGAAGAACGTGGACTCCGCGGTGGCTGTCGCGAGCTGGTCGGTCGCCGTCGAGAACAACTCCGCTGCCGTGATGGTCGGCTGAGGCTCCGGGACCGCCGGGGACTCCGTCGAGAAGTCCAATGCAATGCCAGCTTTGTCTTCGACGTCGCTGCCAACCACCCCGGTCGTCGAGACGATCGAAGGCCTCTTTTCGCTGCAGATGGACGCTGTTTCCGAGTAGTCCCCTCCGAAAGCGTCCTCTCCCGGAGCTAGAGAGCCCTCCTGCTCCGCCATGTTGGCGAACGGGTTGTCCTGAACGGTGGTGGTGATCGCTGCCACGCCGGAGACCACTCCTGCCGCGTCCCCCGTGGTCATAGGCGCCGAGAAGATCGTGGTGGTGGTGGTATCGGTGTTCGGCGCGTCGAACAGGTCTAAGATGTCCCGGTTCTGAGGTGCTTCCATGGCGGCGATCTTGTTGTCGTCGGACAACAGGTCCGGCACGTTCGAGTCCACGTCCAGGAAGTCGGCGAAACTGTGCTCCGGCGTCGGCGATGGAGAGTGCATCAGCGTCGGGCTCGGCGTTCTCGTTGCCTGCGATAACAATCGCACATGAACCAATATCGATCTACCAACCTACTTACCGTGTTCCCCAGGTTCGGACGTTGCGAAAGTATTGGATTGGCAAGAAAGTAATTTCGATTTGCAGCAATAGATAGCGTCACGTTTGCATTGTCATTCTTTTGTTAGGGTTATAATTTTGTTGTCTTCAGCTTTGGTAGTTGACATGATTAGGTTACTATAGAAACAAATTCCGTGTAGTTTTGTTTACAACTGATAGTTCGCTGCCAATTTTAACATGGAGTGCAGAAATGAACATTTTCGACACATTTTACTTTTTTTTTTCATAAAGACAGAAAAGCGATCGAGGCTCGCAAAGAGATATGCGAAGTTTATGGCGTCGATTGTTTAACAGAACGCACGCCGCGTCAGAATTGACTCAAAAAATTTCGTTCTGAAGATTTTTCACTTAAAGATGATCAACGTTGTGATCGACCTTCTGAAGTTGACGATGACAAAATCAAAGCCATCATTGAATCAAATCGTCATATGACTGTAAGAGAGATTGCAAAAAGGTTAAATGCATTACACCCAACATTGAATATCGCATAAGATATCTTGGACTTGTTAAGAAGCTCGATGTTCGGATTCCGCGTGAATTGAAAGAAATTCATTTAACACAACGAATCAGCATTTGCAATACGCATTTTAAACGTAATACAATCGACCCTTTTTTGAAACGAATTATCACCGGTGATGAAATATGGATCGTTTGCAATAACATTAACCGAAAAAGGTCATGGTCCAAGCGTGATGATTCAGCACAAACCATATCGAAAGCTGAATTGCATCAGAAAAAGATCACGCTGTCAATTTGGTGGGATTACAAAGCTATTGTGTATTTTGTGTTGCTTCCAAGCAACCAAACATTCAACTCAAATGTTTACTGCCAACAACTTATGAAATTGAAGGAAGCAATCGAAGTGAAAAGGCCATAATTGGCAAACCGCAAAGGAATCGTGTTCCACCACGACAATGCGAGACCTCGTACATCTTCAGCAACATGTACAAAATTATTGGAGCTTGGTTGGGAATTAATATCGCATCCTTCATACAGCTCTGACCTTGCACCAACGGATTATCATTTATTTCGAAGATTATAAAACTTTTTAAATGGTAAAAATTTCAATAATAACGATAGCCTCGAATCGCACTTGATTGAGTTTTTGACTGATAAGGACTAGAAGTGAAACGGCTATAATTGACAAATCGCAAAGGAATCGTGTTCCACCACGACAATGCGAGACCTCGTACATCTTCAGCAACATGTACAAAATTATTGGAGCTTGGTTGGGAATTAATATCGCATCCTTCATACAGCTCCGACCTTGCACCAACGGATTATCATTTATTTCGAAGTTTACAAAACTTTTTAAATGGTAAAAATTTCAATAACAACGATAGCCTCGAATCGCACTTGATTGAGATTTTTACTGACAAGGACCAGTAGTAGGCAAAATGTCATCGAACAGAACGGAAAATATTTGACTGATTAAAGTTCATTTCTTGTATAGAAAAAATTGAGTTTTATTTCACATTGAAACACCGAAATTACTTTCCTGCCAACCCAATAATCACGGTTTTCTGAATAGATAGCGTTCCCATTTGTAGCCCAAGAACCTACGATAGTCTACCAAGAAAACCGAAATTGCTTTGCAACAACCCAATACAGCAATGTCTCCCTTACTGTCGCTCAGATTGTGCACGAAAATGGACAATTCGGGAAGAGGAAATACGATTATTCGAGGCTTGCAGCTCGTTTTTATAGTTACTGATAATTCATAATTATGAAAACGAACCGCAAAGCTCGCATAATCGTATCTTCTCCTCCCAAATTGTCCATTTTTGTGCACAATCTTAGCGTCAGTTAGGGAGACATTACTGTACTCTGGCGCAATCGTCTTAACCCGTCTCCCAGAAACGATGTACCCTGAATGAAAGCGTCGCACCAACCTGCAGCCGATCTAACAGATGGTTCGAGGTGGCGTCCATGGCCCCGGTGACGGACAGGATGAGGTCCTTGGTGTGCTTCGGAGGTGCCGGGGGCGGTGGCGGTTGTGGCCTCGGCGGGGGTGGCCTGGAAGGCGCATTCCTGCCATTTTTCGGCGGAGCCGGCGGCTGGGGTGCCGGCGCAGGGGGCTCGACGGGCTGGCCGAAGATCTCCTTGGAGGGCTGGCTGGCGTCGAACAGGTTCTCGGACGACCCGGTCGTCACGAGGATGTTGCTGAGTTGGCTAGCGAATATGTTGGTTGCTGGTGTTTCGGTGGTGTCCGGCTCGAAGCCGGCGGTCGGCGCAGTTGTGTCAACGCCGAACGAGGCGAACGGGTTCGTCGAGTCGACGCTGATGGCCGGTTCGTAGGCCGCCGGCTCCGGGGTGTAATTCAGAAATGGATTCTCTCCGGCCCCGGTGCCCCCCGAGTCCCCAAAGTCCTGGAGGAACGGGTTCGAAGCCTGCGCGGCCATCCTGCTGTCCTCCTCCGCCGGGTAGTCGTCCATCAGGAACGGATTGCTCCCTTTAGAGTCCATGATGGCGGAGAATCAAGTCCTAGCTAATACTTTCGAGAGGTCGCGCCAAAGGCGTCGGCAGCAAAGATATTGAAAGAGAGGGGGGTGGACAGAGACGCGGGGGAGGCTTATTTGTCCATCAGCTCGGACTCCAGAAGCCTCAGCTCGGTCTTGCCATGTGCGATGTTGGCGAAGCTGGTGTCGAACGGGTCCACGTCCTCCGCGAACGCAGGGTTGCTGGTCTGCAGGGGGGTCAGGACCTTGTCGCCCGGGCCTTGGTCGTTGATGCACAAGAAGTCCTGCGGGTCCTTCTTCTCTTCGGCTCTCGGATCGAAGTCGTCGATCTCCGGGACCGCGGCGGCGATGATCGCGGTCAAGTTGACGGTGGCGGGTCTCACGGGGACTTCCTCTTGGATCTGCTGCAGCTCGCTTTCCAGGATCTTCAGCTCGGCCTTGCCGGGGAGGATGTTGGTAGCGATCGATGTGTCGAACGGGTCCTCGTAGGACAACTCCTCCTCCTCGATCTTGTTCTCGATCGTAGGCGTCAGAGGCTTCGCGTCCACCTCTACCTCGGCGTCCAGCAGACTCTCTTGTCTCTCGGGCGGCTGTCTAACCCGCGGCTCCTCGAACTTCTTCAGAACGGACTCCTGCACCTCCTGGAACTTGAGGTCCTCCGGCCTGACGGAGGTGGCCGTGAAGTCGCTCTGCCTCCTGCCGGGCTCGGACTTCTGGCTGAAATCGTGGTCGCTGACGCTGTGCGGCAATTTCGACTCCTGCTTCAGTAGCTCGGACTCGATCAGCTTCAGTTCCGTCTTCCCGGGAGCTACCTTGGCGACGAAGCTGGTGTCGAACGGGTCCACATCGACCTCCTCCTCCTCGATCGGCAGCGACTCCTCGATCGACTTCTGCGAATAGTACGGCGTGAGCGGCTTCGAGGGCAGAGCCTTCTCCTCTTCGCTGGTAGCCAAGAGGTCCGGCCTCTTCGATGGAGTGGGCAACTCGAACGCTACCGCCTTCGCAGGCGCCAACTCGAGGACTTCCGGCCTCGAGGTCCTGCGCCCGCGTTCCGGGGCCGCGGTTGGATCTTCCTCCTCGTTGAACTCAACCTTGAAGACCGGTTGAACGGGAGCAACGACGGGGACCACGGGAGCAACAGGGGCTGGTGGTCTCGGCGGGGCTTTGGAAACAGGAGCAGCTACCTGCTCCTCTTTCCTGGGGTCGAAGTCGTCGTCGTCGTCGTCTTCTACGATGCCCGGTGATTCTGCCTGATCCCCTAGCAACTCCTTCTCGAGGAATTTCAGTTCTGTCTTGCCCGGTGGTAGTTCTTGGACCGAAGAGGTGTCGAACGGATCGACGTAGGTGATCTCTTCGACGGGTGCGATGGGCTGATCGGCGAGCTGAGTCAGATCGGTGGTGGATCCTCCTAGCAGGTCTTGCGACGGCTGCAGACTCCTCGCGCCATCTTCGGACAGCAATCCTGTCTCGTAGTCCCTGTTCAAGCCGGCAGGATCGGTCAAGGATATCGTCACCTCCGAGATCGGCAGCTCCTCTAACTCCTTCTCGATGAACTTCAACTCTGCCTTCCCGGGAAGGATGTTCTCGGCGAAGGTGGTGTCGAACGGGTCCTCCTCGTCGACGAAGGTGGCAGCCTCGAAGCTGGCTTCTACGATTTCGGTCTGGAAGACTAGATCCTCCGGCGGCTCCTTGGTGCCGAAAGGATCCTCCGCCTCTTCGAGTTTCACCGGCTCGTCCGGCGCAGCTTCTAGGTCGAACTCCGCGTCGTCTAGGTCCGGGATCTCCTCTAGGATGTTCTTCTCCTTCAGGATCTCGAACTCGGAGATGTCGAGAGGCTCGTTGACCGGTTTAACGTCCGCGGCGGCCTCCTGGGTGGCTATCGGGCTGGCCGGTCTCGGTAGAACTGGAGGAAGCTTGGTTAGATCGACCGGGATATCGGGAAGATCGCTGTCATCGTCCAGTAAGGTTCTCGCTGTTTCGACCGGTTCGGCGGTTACGTTGCCTGTCGGCGGTTCCGCCTCGTCGAAATCGTCTAGCAGAAGGTCCTGTTGAAGCCTGGGCCGTCTGCCCCTCGATATTTTGCAGGTGCTGACGTAGTCGATGCGCCCGGAGAGAACCTCGACCGCGTTGCCTAAGCTGACTAACTTGTTGCCTTTCTTGTCGACTGTCTTCAAGACCTTGTCCGCGCTGGTGGTGTCGAACGGATCGTCCCCGGCCTCTTCTTCGGTTGGGCTGTCCGGGATGTAGGCTAGCTTCACATCGATATTCTGCAGAACGTCCACGTAAGTGGTGTCGAAGATGTCCTCGTCGACGGAGTCCTCCTGGTCATCGTTGTCCTCCGGGATGTCGACGAACCCGTCCTCGCTCACCAAAGGCCTCTCGCCTTTGCCTCTACCGTCGCCCTCGAAGTCTGGCGGCTCGTCTTCGATCGGGTTCCCTTCCTCGTCGAAACCAACCCACTTATTGCCTTTCTTGCTGCACTCCTCCCGACTGTCCTCTTCGTCTTCACCCTCCCTCTTCTTCCGGTTCTTCTCCTCTAACGGCGGCTTCCGCTGGAAGAACGAGGTCGACTTGATGCGGTCGAGGTCGCCCTGGGTCTTCTTGAGGATCGAATCGACCCCGGCGGTCAACGCCTGGAACTTCTTCCACTCGTCGGAGCCGGCGTTGCTCGCCTGCTCGCCGGAATCCTCGGCCTTCTGCTGGGCCTCCGCCCGCTCGCGCCTATAACGCTCGAGCTCCTCCGGGTCGAACTCGTCTTCCTCGGCGCCCTTCTTCCCCTTCTTCTGCTTTTTCTTCTTCTTCAGGCCCTTGGCTAGCTTGTGCATCCTCTAAGAGCTACAGTGGGTCGCGCGAGGCCTCTGAAACCAGCAATTTACAACATTAGTGTAATCACCTTCCCGAGGAATACGTTCGAGTGGCACCGACGCCGAAGAGATCCAGAATCTTCGCCAGAATCGGTCTGCGCAACTCGAATACGTTCCCTTGATAAAATACAGGGTGTCCGAAAATTATGTTACTTCCGGGAAATGAGGGGTTCCTCGGGTCATTTGCAGTAACTTTTTCCTTAGCGCAAATGCAATCCGCGGCTTCGTTTACGAGTTATCAACGAAAAACGCGGACCAATGAGAGGCGGGCTCGCCTGGCGCTGGGCGGGCCAGCCAACGAGCGCACGAAGCCCAGTTACGCCCAGTTCCGTCTCACGCCAGCCTCTCATTGGTCAGTGTTTTTTCGTTGATAACTCGTGAACGAAGCCGCGGATTGCATTTGCGCTGAGGAAAAAGTTACTGTAAATGACCTCAGGGAATCTTCATTGCCCTGAAATAATATAATTTTAGGTCATCATATATTATTCTGTTTCTCGAGAGAAATCTGCTGGCTACTCTGTCCAACGCGAATCTTGTGAATCAGCGATTCTTCTGGATTCTCTCTTCATCATCCTCGGCTGGAAGAATCAATGTTCGTGGATCCGAGGACGATAGAAGAGAACAATTCTCAGACTGAGAATCACTGAACGCTTCGACGCGTTGACAATTGGTTAGGTTAGACAGTGCTATCGACTACCGTTACTCGATCCACTCGTGCTGGTGTGCGTGGGTGTTCGTTATATACCTACTGGAGTTCTATGGGTCGCGCTCAGAACTCGTCGACAGTTTGGATTCTCGCGGATTAAAACCTTCTCCGGGTACGAACGACGTGCACGCAGTGATTAACCCCGCAGGCCGGTGGCTCGGTCGATTTTGACCCGGGAGCTCGATTTAAATTGTTCACTTAATTGCTCGATCTTCGACGATTAAATCAAAGAAAATTGCTGTCACATTAGGAACAGCAGAATGGCTAATAAAACTTCAAGAAATATCTTCAGAAATATGTTTGAAAAATTGCCGAGCAAAGATGAGGATTGTTAGCAACATCGTGAGCGGTAAAATTGTGAAAATGGCCCGTCGTGCGAAGGTTAAACGAAGCGTCGCAAGTCTAATACCTCCGTAGCGGTGCCAGATTCTCGATCTACAAGAAGATGGCGCGTCGGCCATGTTGGTGCACGGTTTCCCAGCGGGCACGCCAAACCTTTCGACCAGTGTCGGAGCGCGACACTGCACGTTTCTAGATACCACAGCCGGGAGAGACACTATCTCAGGATCGCTACGTGATTAGGGCAATCGGACAGAGCCAGGCTTCGATCTCGTCGGAGCCGACGCGTGCGAAACGGACGGCGCGCGGCCGTTCCCGAAGGCCAGCTCCCACGCAGCTTTCGCACCGAGATCCTCGAATACTTGTTGCACACTACCGATCTTTATTTATAGCCGGTTACACGTCGGTTACACCGTGCTAAATTGGTCCGATGTTTTTCCAACGCGCCGCGGTCACGCCAAGAAGCCGCGCGAGTCCTCGCGTTCTCGCCGGCCGAGCCGCAGTTCTACGGCGTAGACGTTGCGCGGATAGAAAAGGTTCGGCCGGCGATCGATCGGAGTCGGAACGAGTGCACTTCGACGAGTCCTTCCGGCCCCTGGCGCAACGAGCCGCTCGTTGTCCAAGATATCCGTGCCGGGCCGATACAAATCTCCGCCGCGAATTCGTTCGCGCGGCATGGGACCGTTGCCAGAACACCGCGATCGATCCCAGTGCCGTAACCGGCGACGTTCTCGCCCGACCCTTCGGCTCCCCGAGACGGCCGAACTCTTCGATCATCGTCGACGAACGCGATCCGACCGAGAACCGCGCACCGGTCGGATGCTCGGCATCGATCGCGCCGCCGCGATCTGCCTCCGGCTGCGTGATAAGGAGCTTACAGGCTTACGCCGTGCGATATTTAGCATATCAGTCGGACTAATCCGGCCCGGAACGGGGAATTTAATTAACGCCGTCCTGCACGCGGTGACGTCGCCCGATATCCTGCGATCCCGTTCCGGCGTCGTCGAACGCGTTACCTTGCGCGAGAATGCTGGCAATGTTTTGTGGCGCAGTCCGCTGTGTCGCCTCGAAGACGACCGAATTGCCAGTGTCGAATAATTGCGCGAATTCGCGAAATTACGCTGCAACTGTGAACCATCGAGCCGAAGCTTCGTCACATTGTGCTCTCTCGCGGTTTTTTAACACCAGAACTGGCAAACCGGTCGAAATGACTGGTCTCTGATCTTTTCTCTCACAATTTCTGTATATCAGTAAAATTGCTTCTAAGAGAATTTTTTATTTCAAGCGCACATCGTAGCAGAAATTCTACAGAGTCTAAGTAAATCAAATATTCCCCGAAACAATACGTGTACAATAAGCGCGATTAGGGCTCGGCGGTTCCAGTGTTAAACGCCAAACCCACCGAGCCGGTACGAAACGACCGGTTTCACATTTTTTTTTTTAAATTCAACGCTAGATTTACGGAGCAAGAAACACAGCTGTTTTATATTAGTTTATAAAAGTAACGATAAGACATTTATTCTGATTTTGAACAAGTGTTTTATTGTAACATTCGCCGTAGTTAACGTATAAATTGAATAAATAACTCGTAAACGTATCTTTACATGAATAATCGTGAACTAAAAAATTAGTGACCCGTCATTTTGACGGGTTCCGTTAAATCTAGTGTTAAAATTGCTGAAATTACGAACTCTTTTATGGAAAATGATTGAATAAATTTCCTAAACCGTGTATTCGTTATTATATAAATATTATTATTATTATTATTATTATTATTATTAGTGTAGTATAGTATATATATATATAGTATATATTATTATTAGTAGTATTCGTTATCATATATCATAAAAACCGTGGAAAGTCTGAATAAATTCAGTCTCGTCATTCTTACAGAGCAACGCGCGTTCGTCGCTTTTAATGCCCGGTTGGTTTAGTGTCAACCCTTTGCGGTCGAAGCTATTTAAATTCGAAATCCAAAACATGATTTCTGATCTACAGTATTTCTATTTTATATAATTTATTGCAAATTTATGCGCATGAAATTGAGCCTACCGGCAAGTACAACGCAATTTCAACAGTTTTTTAAAAATATAAACGAGTCTGATGCCCTTACAATGATTTTGAAAAATAGTACACCAATTTTTAGTGGCGCCTCAGAGTCGCCACTCGATTGCAAAGGGTTAAAATAATGCGGCGTTGTTTCGAGGGACCGCCAGCGGTTTCCGTCTATGCTATCGGATCGCACAGAGGCCTACGCGGTCCGAGATTGACCGGCGGCAGAAGCAACGTGCCCGATACAGAATTCCGTCGATAATTGGAGGGGTGCACGTGCTCCAGATTGTTGGACAAGGGTGGCCGCTCGCTAACAAACTCGCCCGCGTCTATCGCCGGCCACCCTTGGCTCTACTAAAACCGATACCGAGTACACCTGCACGTACGTGTTACACCGGGAACCCGGGATCGATAACGGAACAGGAATCCTCGGAGCGTTCCCGTTCTCTTTCTCTTTCTGTTCCACGGCGCGACGGAAACGCGATCGACAACCGATCCTTTCGCTCCGCCGGATCGACCGCAAGATGTCCGCCGTCTGGTTCCGATTCCGGTTCGACGCGATATCGGAACAATCCAGAAGCTCCCGGCATGCCCGCCTCGATGCACTTCGCCATTCTTGGCCACGGTTTAGAACAATCGACGAAGACGCTCCGGTTTGTCACCGAACCAGAACAGTGTTGGGCGTCGCAGTAAATTCTCCTTAATTTTTCTTCGGCTTGCAAATAAAAGTGGATAATTTGGGAAGAGATGATTCGATTATTTGCAACTCGTTTTTATACTTGTTGGCAGTCGGAAGCTATAAAAACGAGCCGCGAGACTCGAGTAATCGTATCTCCTCTTCCGAAATGATCCATTTTTGTTTACGAACTGGAGGAAAATTCGGGAGAGTTTACTGTATTTCGATGAAAAATTGCAACAGGGTCTCCCTTAATTCGAACATTTATTTTTATAATATTCTGGCATCCAAGCGTTCTATTATATTGAATACGTTAAATAAATTTAAATACGTTATCATTTGGTAGAGAACTTGAATTAAATTATTCGATAATAAAATATTTGGTATCAGGATATTATGAAAATAAACCTCCTGATAAGAGAGTCTCTACTGTATTCAAATAACGATTCGAACATTATCTTTATTCGTTATTCGAACGTTCGAATGAAAAAAGGTATTTTTTTTTATCCGACGAATAAAGATACAGATAAAAGATGACAATATTATTCGACGCTTCGAATAAATTCTCGTCGAATGAAATTATTTATAAATAATAATAATAATGATATAAATAAATAAAAATAAAATTTATTATATATAATAAAATATAAAAATATAAATAATAAAAATACTTCTTTTATTCGATCGTTCGAATAACGAATCAAATTTATCTTTTAATCGTCATGGGAAATTTGTATGTAGATAAACATTTTGCCCAACTCTGAACCAGAAGCTCGCTGGATCGCGCAATGTCAATAATTCCTCGTGTCGACTGCGCTTAACGAAGAACTCGATAAAAGTCGATAAGACTCGAAGGACCTTTTACAACGAGCATGGAATTGCATCCAAGAAGTATACAGATTTGCAAGTTGTGCTGTTTTCTATCTACTACGAATTTCTATTCATCAGCAAACATTTTTGCTGCGCGAACGTTCATGAAACAGTTTCATCCGGCATCAACGAGAAGGAGTTCGAACGACGCCGAATATTTTTGGTGAACAGATTTTCCTAGAACAGATTTTCTTCGGGTCTCGATTTTCTGCGCGCTCGACGGAAAATCGATGAACAACAAACAATAAGTGCGTACTCGAAAGCATCGTCGTCGGCTGGATGCGGTTTGAAGAATTTAGAACACCGCAAAACGAAATGTTAGGATAGCGACACGTAAAAGGGCAAGGTTCATCGAGTATCGAGCGCCATCGCTAAAGTTGTTCCTTATCCGAGTCCTCCTAACCTCTCGGTTCTAAAAATGGCGGAAAAGTTGAAGAAAACCGAAAGACTGTTTTTAGATCCAGCCGGCTGTTTACTGGCGCAATAAGTACGGTAATTTCACCCTAATTCACTCTTCGATTGCGCACAAAAATGGACAATTTGGGAAGAGGAGTTACGATCGTTCGAGCCTCGCGTCTCGTTTTCATAATTTTTCATTGTCAACGATTATAAAAACGAGCTGCAAATATCAAATAATCGTATATCAAATATATATTTGATATTTGATATATATATCAAATAATATATCAAATATATATAATATAATATAGTATAATATAATATAATATAATATAATATAATATAATATAATATAATATAATATAATATAATATAATATAATATAATATAATATAATATAGTATAATATAATATAATATAATATTATATAGTATAATATAATATAATATTATATATATATATTATATATATATATATAATAAATAAATAAATAAATATATTATATATATATAATATATTTATTTATTTATTTATTATATATATATATATAATAAATAAATAAATAAATATATTATATATATATAATATATTTATTTATTTATTTATTATATATATATATATAATAAATAAATAAATAAATATATTATATATATATAATATATTTATTTATTTATTTATTATATATATATATATAATAAATAAATAAATAAATATATTATATATATATAATATATTTATTTATTTATTTATATATTTATATATTTATATTTATATTTATTTATATTTATATATATATATATATCAAATAATCGCATCACCTGTTCCCAAATTGTTCTTTTTTGTGCGCAATCAGAGCGCGAATTTCGAGAGAAATTACTTGTATTGAACTCGCGGAAGAGCGATGGCTGGCATGTTGGCACGACAAACAGAGAACCTACAATCGAATAAACCCATCGAATCGATGACTGATCAATGCCGGAAACTCGGCGGGAGCTTCTGGCTTTTCTGGATTCGAGAAACCTGTTAAAACAAGCTCGCAGAACCGTAAACAGTTCCGATTAACGATCCGCGAATTCAATCGCTCACGGTTGAAACAATATTCGTAAAATCATTGTTCAGGGGGGGGGGGCACGATCGAGTGCCGGCTGGTCGGTGGAAACGTTTGAACGATAGGTGACGTTTCGATATCGATAAGGCAGCGCGACGCGATAAGGTTTATTCTTATCTCCGGCAGCCAGATAATTAAATTTGGCTCGTGCCGCGTCACCGAGTTGAATAGAGATTATCGACCAGCGCGGTTCGAGACCCTGCGGGCCGGGTATCGAGACCGACACTTGTTACCAGTTAATTATCGGCGGCCCGTGAATGTTAATTCGTCGGGGAATCGGCACGGACGAGCCTAGGACGCGAATCTCGCGGCCTAGGCCGTCGCCGCCATCTTTATATCTCGCATCTGGAACCTGATTTGCGAGACACGAGCTCCATGCTCGCTCGCAAAATCAATGTTCGCGTTCAACGAATCGACTTCAGCGTGTTCCACGATTCTTGGGAAAGTTCGCTTTTCTGCGACTTTCTTCATTTCGCCATTTTCCTTTTTTCCACCAATCAGATCTTTCCAATGTTTATCCTCCGACGCGACGTCGCCGTTGCGGCGCGAATCAAATTGTTCGAAATTCAATTCCTTTCGTCAAGGTTATCCAACGATCTTCAACTTCGTTCTACCGACTCGTTGCAAGCAATCGAGACAATCCCTTTCGTCAGGCAGGATTCAGTTATTTTTAACCTCGCCTGTTTTACCGACTCGCTCCATTTCAACGATTTTTCAATAACACATTTTATCGTTTTGTCCGCCGCGTTCTTCGACGGCGCGATGACATTTCCCCGGACATTTTGCGCGAACGAGTGGGAAAACAAACGTTGTCGCCGGCGCGGCCTAGAAATCCACGACGGAGGCTCGACGATCGTTTCGCCGGGCCGTCGATGTAATTGTCAGCTGTAATCGCGCTTTGTGTAAAGAATCTAGGGTACGGTAACCCCCGCGCGCGCTTGCAATTCCCAGGAAACCGCGAACGCGAGCGCACGGCGGCCGCGGGTGACACACTATCCCACTTCTGATGACAATGACACAAAATGATCGACTCGCCACTGGCCACTGGGAAGGAAAATTTCGATCCGCCACGAAGGAATCGTCGTCCGAAAAGTTCGAGGAGAGGTCGCGACGAGGTCGCGGAACCGAAGACGGGTAACAAATGGTGCTCGGCTTATATTTAGAAGCCCCGAACCCCCATACAAAGCCTGGCGATCTTCTGGAAACGGCTCTGAAGCCGGTGGGAACACGCGCGAAACGAGTCGACTTGTAAAATCAGAAAACGGAGATATTGTTGAAGCCACCTGTACCGGAAACGGCTGGCTGCGAGCGTCATCGCCGATTCCGTTCGACGACGGGCCATCGAGGAGCAAGGCACGGGATCCCGAGTCGGACTGGCATTTCGGACGTAATTGAGAAACCTTCGGGCCAGGAGTATCGGTCTGATATCTGGTACAGTTGTCCAGCGGATTTCCGGCGAGGGCGCACGCGTAACGCCGGCACCGATGATGCTCGGGCCGAAGCTTCTCACCTGTCACGCTCGCCGCCGCGCGATTGAAGACCGTCGTCCAGCGTCGCCGCGATTCCGCTCTAGTTACCACGAAAATTCCCCGGCCGAGATCTGGAACCCTTTGAAAATCGACGGGAAAAAGAGATCGACGGCGAACCCAAGCACGCCGCCGAGGGAAAAAGAGAACGGGCCACGATATCGACCAAGCCAGTCCTCAATGGACAGCTTCATTATCGTCTTAGCAACGATCATCGCTGAGTCAGCTATGTTCACGAGGGTTTTTTTTCCCCAAGCTTTCCACGCAGAATTGTTGTCACCGGATGTCTTGTTTCGTAAGACGCTTCGAATTGTTAACGAGAATGGCGACGAAGTAGACATTTCTCTTTCGTGTTACGATTAGACGCTTCGATTCCTTCGATCGCTCGGATTCGTAAAATTCGTCATTATTTATTCCTCGCGATCGACCAGATCTTCGATAAAATATTAATTCTTTTCAGCGCGTGGGAAGTCGACGAAATGGACAGCCAATGTCAGAAAATTCGAAACGAGTTTGCAGAAACTGTTCGCCTAAACTGCTGATTCTATAGCAATATTAGCCTTTTGTTGTATTAATTTGTAGTTGTATTAATTTGTTGTGTTAATATTAGCCTTTTGTTCTTCGTGAAAAATCGTAAAAAATGGGTTTTTAGCCGTATATACAAATAAGTAAATAAATTAAGAATTGAGTAAATGAATAAATCACTGTGTTCAGCGTGAGACCAGCTGATCCCGGAAACACCTAACGAAATGTCGCGTTTTCTGCGCCATTACCGGGCACTCGACCATGGAAAACCGGGTGCCAAGAATCTCCGTCACTCAAAAATAACTGCCTCGTCATTTTCGAAAACGCGAGAACGTCTTCGTCGCGGAACGTTCAGACACCTGTGGACTGGTGCTGCAGTATTGTTACCGAAATCTTTCAATTATTGCGCAACAATCGACGGAAATCTGTGCACAGAACGGTCTGTATACATTGGGGTTTCTGGACGACCTCGAGGTACCATCGCAGGATCGATTAACAACTTCGTCATCCGTTTTCGGACGAGAACGACCGCTTCATCTCCTGACGCTGTTAAATCGACTACGCCGAACAGACGATACTCGTCTCGGAACGCGCCATGGCACCCTATAAACTAACGAATTTTCTCTGGAAGAGAGGCCTCCGTCAATATCCTCAATCCTTTCTCGAGCACCTTCGAGAAAAGCCGAGGACTAGGTCGAGGAGTTACACAATCGTGCTGGGGGATGGAGAGCCTCCTACCCTCGCAGAATAGCCGACAATTTTCATCGTACCCGAAGCAACCCCGGAAAAATCCGTGGACATACGAACGCTACGCGATCGCAACAAGAGGATGAAAAGCCCAGCAAGAATTTTCCTAGCGTCGTTTCGTAGCGTCCCCTTCGGAAAATCGCGGCGACCAAATCGTGGAGAGGGTAGGGGTTACACAATCGAAACAGCGAGCAGAATGAGGCGCGATTGGTTCGAGAAAAAGCCCGAGAGACAGCTCGGAGGAGCCGTCGCGGCGCGATCGATCGGGGAAATCGAGGAAGACCGTGAACCCTCCGAGATACCCTAAAAATCTATCGGCGGACGCCGCACAGTCCGGAGGACTCGAGACAAGAAGTCTGTCGAACAGGAAGACGCCGCACAGTTCGGAGAAGCTGGGTGTCGGGCTCGGCGTGTCTCTCGAGGCTGTTTCTCGCGGTGAAAAATTGGGGTGCGCGATCGACACGCGGCCTAATCGAGTCGAGTCGGGTCGAGTCGAGTCGGCTCTCCGGTATCTGGAGCGGATCAATCGCTGGTGGAAGCGTAGGTGTCGTAGGCCCCGCGTGCCTCTAGGCTAAACGTTCTCGCACACAGTTTGCATTCCGGGAGAGAAGCCCGTGCGACTTGGGGGTTGGTTGGTTGGTTGGTTAGTAATCGTCAGGCAGGCTCGCGTAATCATGTACTTACGATTCCAGCCTCGTCAGCCACATCGGTACGACGCACATTTTTTTCGAGTCATCCCGCGGGGTATCGAGACTCCTCTCTCTCTCTTTCTCTGTTCGCCGAGGCCCGGAGACGCCGATGGATGGCACACACTTTTGGGAGCCGCGGGGGAGGGTCACACCGAGAAGAAGAACAGGTAGAGGAAAGGTGATTCGGGGGGACGGGGACGGTGATTCTTTCTCTTTCTCTCTCTTTTTCTCTTGCTCTCCCTCTCTCTCTCTCTCTCTCACTCTCTCGCTCTCTTTCGCTCTCTCTCTTTCTCTCTATCTCTCTCACTCTTCCCGTGTCCCCCTTTCTCGCGAAGACAGAGGATACCAGACGGAGCAAAACTGACGCGGAACGGTACCGAACTTCCGGAGCTATTGAGAGAGGGTTTCTTCAGGTTGGAGAGGCCGGTTGCTCTCTCTCCTGGCCTGGAAAACACGGAAACTACCGGGCGTAGAGAGCCGCGAAGGCCCTGCCGAAAGCGAAGCCGACTCACCTCGTACTCTCCTGCGGCTCGAGCTATTTCCAGCATCGATCCATCCGACTCGCGGAGAAGAAACATGCGCGTACAACTTGGACGCCCACCGACGCCCCCGGCGTCCCCGGCGCCCCTGCCTACGGACCCCCACCAGCGGTACACCACTCACCCTCCAGCTAGCGACGGCCTGAAAACCCGACGGTACGCGCGCGCCTACATTTCGGGATCGATTTCTTCCGACGAAATTACCGAGCCCTTTGTCGAACCGTCATTGGAGATTTCATGTGGTTATCTTCGTCTGCATCGACGTTTTAAACATTGTTCGCTCGATGACACTCTTGCGGGAGACGCGGTGCTCGGGGTGGAGGAGGGGGGAGGCAGTCTCCGCGGTGTCTTAGTAAGTCGGCTTCCGATAGACCGCCTCGGCCTTGGTCTTCGTCGAATTTCCGTCCACGATATCTCGGAGCCCTTTCGTCGAACTATCGTTGGACATTTTCTCTGGTTATTCTGTTGGAACATTTTCGAACCGATTCGTTGTACGACTCTTGTCGGTGTCGCAGGGATTGGTACTTCGACGCGTTCGGCGCCGGTCGAATACCGGTGACACTGATTTTTCACCGGTTTTGAACATTCATTTTCGTTGTAATTTATTCGAACGAACCGAATTTTGATCAGGATGGTTCGGATGCGAAAGGGTTCTAATGTTTATCCACTGCGGTGAATTTTGATTATTATTTATAATTTAAAACTTTAATAATTAAATATATTTAATTATTGTACAATATTATTCGGTTTAATCAATTGTGGACTCGTGGAGAAAGGGTTTTTATTATCGTTATTATTATTTATTCATTAATTGAATCAATTATTGCCTCCCTTTGTTATACATAATTGCTTGCATTGGTGATAAAATTATGGAATCAGCGTTTAAAGGTTGTTATTAATTAATTATTAATTAATCTTCGCAGAAGGGATAATAGAACATTTCAACGGTGTTGAAATTTTAAAATGATTCAGACGTTCCTTTTACTTTGAAACTGTGTCATGGTTGACTTTATTGAGGCCTTTGCTTGTATTAAATCTTCAAGCACAGGAGAGAACGATTCTATTTAAATAATACAATGGAATCCCGATTGTCCGGCACCGTTCGATTCCAATTCAATTGTAGTTTTATTCTTCTGCTAGTAAGTTTCGATTGAGACTTAAGAGAGTAAAATATAGTAAATCCTGACCTGAGAAAAGATATTTTGAGCACACGAGAATGTTCAGCGGAATTTTCTGCATCCGAATAATGCGAAGAAAATGTATTTATTATTGCAAATATCTTGTACAGATGATTCTTGCCGCTTTTCCCATAAGAGACCGTGTTAAAAACGGCACGAATCAACCGTCCCTGAAAATGTAGAAATAGCGCCACTGCACGTAGTGGCAAAACGCTCAAACTGTTAGCCAAATTACCAACAGTCGATTTCGCTGAACAGTTTGAGCGTTTTGCCACCAGTCCACTTGGCGCTGTACGGACCTCGAAACAAGCTTCGCTTTTTCTCCGCAAGGGGCGCTATAATCGCCCGCATATACACAATGCATTGTCGCCGAAAAACATTAATTATGGCAAAATTAGAATGTTACGATATAATCAAAGGTTACAGGACTGTTCAAGAGAATCTGCTGTACGAAATTCGTGCGAGAAAAGCTCCAAATTATCGGGAATATTTTAAGATAGAAGCTGTTAATTTTGAGAGAATTAACTTCTTTTTTATTTCCAGAAACCAGGCAGAGATTGAAAGTTTCCCCAAGAGAGCGATTTTTGCTATCGTTCAAACGCGTCGTTTTGTCCGGGAAGATTGGGATCCGAGGGTTCGACGGCAGCCTGTGTTAAAGGCTCAAAATTTCCGGGGTTCGCTTCGAAAGGATTTTTCGTTTCGTTGAACGCTTTCAAGTGCGCCCGACTTTTCATACATCCATCACGCGCCACCCTTTCGACATTGCCACTTTCTCGTAGGGGTGGTTCTCCCACGGCGAACGTTTCCGGACGAATTGAATACAGATGGGAGAAAAGATACTCGCGGCAATAAATAACCGTGAATGAAACCGTCGGGGTAGAACCGCGAAAATTTTGCGACTCCGCAATGCGATTACGCAACTCGCTAGTAAATATGACGAACGCTCCCCTTGCCAGAAATCTGGACACCTTATTCCTGCGATAAAACAATTAGCATAACTGACTGGTAATTTGAGAAAAATTTTACAAGCTTGAGACAATGAATTTCTTCGGATAAGAAATTCTGTTATTACAACGAATATTATTAGCAAAAAGGTTAACAGAGTTAGTCTAGAGAGAATTTCTTTGTGCAAACTAATGTTAATTTAAAGCAGAAAAGAGCTTCGATCATTTCGCTGGTAGCGTTAGTATCGATTTAAAAATGAATCAAAGGTTGTCTATGCTAAGTAAGCACAGTAAAAAACGCGACAAGGGAAGAAATCTTATTTCCATTTCAAACGGGGAATAAAATAACCCAGGAAGATCGAGGGGAAAGATCGACAGACTTTTCCGGGATTCGATGCCAGCAGAAGGGGATGAGGGTGACGTAATCGAGATAGGGTGCCGTAACAATGAGTACACGCTCGAGTGTGAGCCTTTTGATAGGGCGTCGTATCTCGCCGCTGGGAAATGGGATAGGTCATGCGATTTCGTTCATTGCTGGCACCGAATTCATTTCGCAAGGGGTTGCAATGCTCCCGATACGCGTACAGGGTGTTCCAACAACACCCGGTACCTCTACAATCTATCTTTTACATCCGAGACTAAATCGTAATTACCAAATACAATTATTTCTTAACATGGACTTCACCTCGAAATAATTTTCAGAGGCAGAAGGAACAAACTTTAACGCACATTAGTTCCACCCCTATCTCGGTACCCCCCTCGTTTACCACCGAGTCTGTATTATCGTTCACATCTCCCCTAGGAATCGTGAATCACGAGCAATTTACAACCCGCAGTAACTTACAACCCCTTCTAGATCGAGTCGCGGCTCACCTGACGAATTTCCTTGCGTATCGTTATCCGACACTCTACGTGGAAATTATGTTCGTTGCTGAAAAATGAAGGGAGAACCGTGGTTCAGGCTAATTGGGAACACTTTCCTGATTAATCCATGCTAGGATTTAGCGGTTGTTCTCTGCTCGTTGAAACGCTATTAACGAAGAAAAGGCTCGTTGGAACTGTTGATAATTAAATAATGCAAATAATCGAATTGCACGAATCGAAATGAATCGACGAACAAGGTGCGATGATTGAAACCTGGGTGTTTCACCTTGGGGGTTGCTCAGCGATGCGAGGGTGATGACTAAATTGCGGATTTTATGCATTTATGATCAAACTCGGCAGGTGTAATTTAAAGCAGCGAAAATATTAAAAGTAACTAACAATGTGGATGTATTAACACCTTACCACGATTTGACGAGTTCGACTTGTAGCAAAAATTTCGATTAATAATTCAAGTATGGACGTTATTCTGTTCTTTAAAATTGCAATAAAATTCTAGTCTTTTGTCATTGATATTTAACCCTTTGCACTCGAAATTTAAAATAGTTTCTTTGTCCTATAGTATTTTCATTTCATATAACTCACTGCATTTTATGCGCACGACACTGAATTTTGTGACTCAAGCAACACAGTTACACTTCGCAACGTTTTTCCTTTAAATATAAACAACTTCGATGATGTTAAAATCATTTTGTAACGTGATGAAACAATTTTTTATGGCGTCTCAGAGTCGCCACTCGAGAAATTATTGCAATCGAAAAATTTCTAATCGCGGTAACTGTGAAGAAAATGATTGTGTCAAGGGGTTGATGCGAACTTCGAAAAATGATCAAAAGAAGAAGAAAGCTTGTGATCGGCTCCTGCGTCTTGCAATTAATGCAGAGAATTTTTATTTCGCATAAAGGTCAGCAGTCTGGCGACGACGATGGAACATTGACACCACTCCGGCCGAATATTGCAAATATCTCCGCAATAACTGCAAAACGGATATTTCTACAACCGAAGCCCAGTCGTTCAGTCTTTTTGGAATCTAAATTTTCCACTTATGAACTGCACGCTTCGATATTAAAGCGTCAGCTTTGGCCGATGTAAACCTCTAAAACTAATGTACGTATATGGTTTTCTTCTATGTGTGGGTCGTCATAGTGTGCGGCGATCCAGAGCCTTAAGGATAAACTCCGATGGCGGCGAAGGGGAGCTCGGTCTCGGGCGTGGTGTGAAGCAGAGAAGCGACCTTAGAAATATTACAGTAACTTTTATTTAACGAAATATATAACAGAATATGGAGGAAACTGGAGGGAGTGGAACGGCGACGCTCACGCGAGATCGGGATATCTCGCCGGCCCTCGGGATCGAAGCTCTCGGCGCTCCTATACATATGTATACATATTCATGTCCTGTGTGCCTGTGTGTATGTATATAATATACGTCGCTAATCCTCCGACTCCTATTTACACAACGCCCTCTCTCCCGTATCCGGAACAACGATCTAAACGCGCGTATCCCGTTCGATCCCGAGGGTGATTCGCTCCAGAAAAACGAAACGCGTCTTTCTGTCTTCCTTCTTCTTCATCCGCTTCTTCTTTCTCACAAAACGCCGCGTAACTGCCTCCCGACGAATAAACGAAAACAGAGGAAAAAAAACGACCCACGTTCCCGTGAGCATCACGCGGGTCGGTGATCGAGGCGACCATGCTGCTGCTCCCCGGGCGCGGAGGGTTTGCGGATCGCCGCGCCGCGCCGCGAACACCGGAAGCGAGTCGCGGCTCGGCGACACCCCGCACGCCCGAGGAACAACCGATTTCGCTTTTTAGAATGTTCCGCCGCGCGGTCGTGCGCTCTACCCTCGCGTTATTGCTAATTATACTGCTCGTCGATCGACCGCTAGGTCGGTAACCACCCCCGGAAGCGCGGCTCGCGGGCCGACCGATGATCCGTGAACACGGCCCGAGGACTCGCCCCGGCGAAAGTCGAGAGTTCCGGGAGAAAGCGAGGCTCTCCTGAACTTCGAACTCTCTCGAACTCCGGCATCGCGAGACTCCGGCGTCGTCGAAAGAAACGTTAGCGTTCCTCGCGTCGCGAACTTCAACCTCCCCGTAACTTTTTAAACCCTCGCACGACTGTTCGATCGATCTCGCGTCCGCCGGAGCCTCGTTCGGCCGATCCCGGGTCACTTGTGACCCGCGCGCTTCGATCACGCCGAAGACGCGCACGCGTTCGTCAGTCTGTCGCATATGTGCTCGGGCAAATTTGATTGCGAGCATCGCCGGAGAATTGAATTTCGCAGTGAAACACGTGTGAAGGTAATAATGGCGAGGCTGTTTATGGGTCATGAGTGACCCGCGAACCGCTTCAGATCGTTCGATGCCAATAAAATTGAATAACGAAAAAGCGAAAATGATTTTAACTGGCTTCGTGATCGTAAATCGGAGTGGTTTCGTGAACCCCGACGGAGCCATAAGTGCTTCAAGGGGGGGAGCGGGGGGCAAAGACCTCCGTTCTCTGAATTTCCGTAAACGGCGAACGCCACAGGTGAGCAGAAAGTTTCCGGTGCACTCCCGGGGGAGCTATTGGCGACACGATTCCTCTATCTTTGTCTAAGGACACGGCAGAACGACGATTCGTAACTTGTAGAACCTTGAAAAAGGGGGATGCCCGGCGGGCTACCTGGCTGCGGCGCCCCCGAGAGCCTCTAAACACGTATACGAGTGAAAACGAGGAACCATGGTGCCAAGATTCAATTACGATTCAGCGCGTGGCGATCGACGAGCGCTCGTTTGGTTTTTAACCCCTCGACCGGGAGTATTTTCGATTGCGAACGCTCAGGAAGACGTAAAACAGTCGACTTGGAGTACCGTGAATAGAAAAATTTGATCGCAATCGGCGCGAATACGATGCACACCTCTGGCAGAATATATTATAATACATCAAATAAATTCAGTGTACGATGTGAAAATTGTACGTTTCCTGTGAGAAATATTTTCTTTGACCTTTTCACTGCTGCAGACGTATATTTACGATATGTCTATTATATCTATTATAATATATATTATACATTATAATATATTATATACATTATAG